CTATTTCCTTTTTACTTCCCTCTTGTCCCATCATCATGTTCAGCCTTCATTTGGGTTTAGTAATTCCTCGCTGCTACATTGCCCTAGATTGAGCCCCACTAGGCATCCTATGACCTTCCTTCCATTGATTTTAGTTCACTTGTTGTTCCCTTGTCCCTGGGTTGGTTCCCCTCTCCCAGCCCTTCCTTTCTCCTACCTCCTCTTCTCCCATATCCCCCCAGAACCATTGGTCCCATTCTTTTCATCTCTGAATTATTTATCCTACTTATCTAGATACATGCAGATACATTAATAAATGCAAAAACCAGGCAAAGCCAAATAAAACCACAAAGGAAGCAAAAACCAACAAGACATAACAACAACAGTAGAAAGCAAGAACAAATAACAACAAAAAGAAAGCCACTTACAAAAAAGGAAAAGCCATAAATAATTCAAGGTCTGCTTGTTGGCCTTTACGAGTGTTTTCCAGTTGAGTCTGATGGGGTGCCACACTCTGTCTCCCAAGTCTATTTCTGGTATTCCCCAGGGGTTTCATCACTCTGCTCCCGCTGGCGCCCCGCCGCATGCTCTCAGTGCCTCCCCCCAACATGATGGGAACAGACAGTGCACTATCCCCACACTGTGTCTCCTGTGCTGCCCCCCGCAGTGCCTTCTTTATTTTCTATTGAAATTTGTCTCCATTTTATCATTTTATTTTGTTTACATGTTGTATGTTTTTCTGTATATGAAATTCAAGAGAGATAAACCTATAGAGATAGTGAAGATTAATAGTTTTCCTAGGGGAGTGGCAAGGGTGGTTGTGGAGAAATCGGAAGCTAACAATGAGCACAAGAAAGAAGAAAATGTCCTAAAATTGATTGTGGTAATGATTGCACCACTATTTTTAATATAATTGAAAGAATGAATTGTATGGCATGTGAATTATATGTAAGTAAAACTGTTAAAAAAACAACAAAATAATTCATTTCCCTCAAAAAAATGAGTGTCACTTGCTACTTTAAATAGATGACCACTAAAATATTGACTTTTAGTCAACTCCCAATTTATTGACTGAAAATAAATTAAAATAAAACAGAAACAAGCTGATTATACCCAAAGAGACTAAACTTTGTGTTTTGTGGAAGACATTTTTGGATTCTAGGGTATACTTTTTGGGGGGAGTTTTTCCAACTCCCATGATCACTTAACTGTCCCAATTTACCTACAAAGGTGAGTGTTTCATAGCCTAATTGATACCTGACCACTTGATTGGGTGTCATTCATCAACTTGGACCTATCAGATTCTCTTATGGGAATTCGAAGTTGGTATTAAAAGGTTCTACTTGAGTCTGGGCTGTACTCAGAATAAGAGGTGTTATATAATCAAGGCTTGGTAACTATAAGATAATTGTTTTCTGCCACATAAATTGAGTATCTAAAAAGCCAGTTTTCAGGATAGGGATGGGGACAGCATACAGAAGGTGTGCAGCGCAAGGAAGCCTGTGGGAAAGGGATATGGTTTCCCACTTCCGTTTACAGTCCTTTTCTCTGGCTTGAAAACTATGTTTCCCAGAAATGTGTTGCATAGAGTCTCATTTGGCTGCCCACTCCATATCCTTTAAGCAGCTTGTGTTAGGCTGGGTTGACTAGAGAAACAAACCTGGTCACACTCATATATGTTTAAGAAAGAGCTTTACATCAAGAAGTAATTGTGTATCAAGGAAGCATTCCAGCCCAGCCCAACTCAAATCTATAAGTCAGATATTAGTCCATAAATCCCTCTTCAGACTCATGGCGACATGCAATGATGCAGAATGCAAGAAGATCACAGGCTGGTGGGTGCAAAGTTGTGTGGATCCAAGGTGGTGGCTCTGGAAGCCAAAGGGGTGAGCCAGCAAGAAGATGAAGGCAGAGAGAGAAAGGGAGGTTCCCAGGGTCACACCCACAAGAAGGCACCATCAGGCTGTGACCTGATTGACAGGTTGAGTACCACCCCTACACTTTTGTAGAACTTCAAGTTGACGTGAAATTATGTAACAACCACAAAGATACATCTTTCTTTCCTGACCTTGATTTTCTTGAGATGCTCTGTTATTCTTAGCTGTTATTGACTTGGGTCAAATTCACAGCAGCCCTATATACAATATAATGAAAATTGCCCTGTCCTGTGTAATCTTTACAATAGTAAGTATGCTAGAACCCATCGTTGTGGCTACTGTGACTTTTCAATGCCTCAGCACTATGTTGGACAATATTCTGTTGTCATGCAGCGAGTTTTCACTGGTTAATTTTCAAGCATTTATTTCAATTTTGTCTTAGCTCCACTGAAACCCAACTACCATGGCTAACCCTACTGGTATTTGAAACATGGATGGCATCATTTTTAGCACTGTAACATCATCCAAGATACCACAGTACAACAAACTGACAGGTAGAGGGTGGATGATACGCTCTAGGTTCCTTAGAACAAACCCTCTACGACCTCTACTACTACAATGACTCTCTTTCCATCGATTACCATTATTACCATCTTTCCCCCTCTGCCTTTGACCCTGTGCCTCCCTTTCTGTTTTCCTCATTAGTAAGAAAAAGTTGTTGTTTCTTGCCATTGAAGGCAACCACGGGCCACATTGTTGAGAACCACTGATTAGTACTGGCATCACTTAGTTAACTTCTGAACTCAGGCCCAGAGGATGTATGCTGTTGAACTGTTCCCTCACCACGCCCCCCTACCTTGCCCCCGCCACGCTCTCCTCTTACTGCTCTATTTTCATGCTAGTCATTTCAGACTCTCAGTGAGGATGCTCACTTAAAGTTTTGTACTAAAATAAGCAGACTGGAAAAATAAACAAAACCCAATTTAGAAAGGTAAAACAAAACATCCAATGTCACTTTGTGAGAGTGTGGAATAGTTTTAATTGAAGTGAAACTCATGTAGCATAGAATCCATCATTTTAAAGTGCTCGAATCAGTGGCATTTAGTTATCTGTAATGTTGTGCAACTCCCACTTCCGTTTAGACCCAAAC